CTCAAGTTCACACATTTGAGTATTCAGACTTCTTGCATTTGTATACAAGCACTTATAAAATTTGTCAGTATTGAGTTGTCTGCCTTCATGTGATGCAACTCTTTTTAAAACAAACAAAAATATTGTCTGTCTCTTCAGTTCCTACCTGTACTTTATCAACTTCTATCCTCTCCTCTTTACTAGGATATCGATTATCCCCTTCAATGAATCCTACCCTAAGGGATGTGTCTGTCTAAACGTGTCGGCTTTCGCTACCCTTAGTTTAAAAATTCCCCTAGAATCAGCAATCTGGTTCCATTTTTGAGTGGTGCCCATGCTTCCTGTATAGGCTCTTATGTTCCCAAAAGGTTGCCCAGTTCCTAAGAAACCTTAAATCCCTCCTCCAAACACCATTGTCTCATCCACACATTGAGTTCTGCCTGAATAACTGGCCCTGCATGTGGAACTGGAAGCATTTCAGAGAATGCTACCATGGAGATCCTGGATTTTAATTTCTTACCTAGCAACCTGAATGTGGTCTCCAGTACCTTTGTCCTACCTTTCCCTATGTCATTGGTATCTGTATGTGCCACAACTACCAGCTCCTTCCCAGCATGGCACATAAGTCTGTTTAGATGTTTCAAGAGGGCCATATCCTTTCACCCCATGACTTTCAATTTACAGGTAATCTTGAAATTTTTCCATTTGAGCAGTTGCCTTTGGAAACAGTTGTATGTTTTACACTTAGACCTGCCTGAGGCAAGAGCTATATGAATATAGAGCTCTTACTTTTATATTGCTGCCTGACCGCCCTCCACAGCTCTCTAGTGACCTTGGGCTGCATGCTCTTCCATGCTACTAAAGAACTCCTGCAACCAGAGTGTTTTCCCTGGAGCCTCCCTTCAAGGAGAGTGTGTGTGTCTGTGCATGAAACTATGAAAGTTAATGCCCACCCTTTTTGCAGCAACCTGAGTTCCAGTACCCTACAAGCTCCATGTCAGAGAGAGTGAGGGAATATGGTGGAGCTAGTTAAATATGTATGAAATTACTGAAAGAATGACCATGATATGAGGCACATCTGTTACCAAGTGATTCATAGCACTTGGAACTGGAACTAGGGATCATGAGTGAAGCAAGACATCGTAGAGTGACAGTTATTGGCCATTTTCCCTATTTCACCACTATGGTGATGTCATGAACATGAGCTCCATGGAAGTAACAAGTCTAGATATTGAAGCCTCACAGGTCCAAAATGGGTTGGAATGAGCTGCCCTCTTTGAGGCAAATTATGAATTGTAATGGCCAACAATGAATGTGGTGTATTGTTCATGGGTTTTTCCTTATGATACAGGAACCAGTAGGATTGGATCCTGTTCTAGAAGCTCCAAAATCTTCATAGCATAATCCCAAACCAGTGCGTGGGAGATGTTTCTGTCTGTAAGCAGAGTCTGAATTAGCTCTCCCCTGATATGGAGAGCTGTGGAAAAAGAGTTCAGGAGCTGATCTTGTTTGCATGGACACACCCACCCTGCCTAGGTGCTCAGCATGATGGATTGCTTACCCAAATGATCACTTATGGTTGGTGTTGGATCCCCAGTCTCCTTGTTATTGGGGCAGGAGTAATAAAGGGTTGTTATCCTTGTTGTGTGAACCGAGGGCAGCAAAACTGTACCTGGCATATCCTAATGGAGGGACTCACCCTCAACTGAACGGCACTTGCTAGGCAGGGGACATGGGCTCCAAAGTGGGCACATGGGCTCTAATGAGTTGAGAGAGGATGGGTCCCATTTAAGGGTCCCAGATACTATTTGACCTGGTTTCTCTCCATGGTATAATAAAAAACCTAATTTAGACTCAATTGAGAGTCTTGTTGCATGCTGTAGAACTGAAATCACTGAGACCTAGGTCTAAGTATTAAACCTACTTTGGGACAGTGTCTCTATTGCAAGAGATTGCCCAGGCTCCTCCACTAACAGCTGAAATCACTGAGAGCTCTGTTAAGTGGTGGCCCTGAAGACATCTTGGTGAGTGGGTGGCTGGTGAAGAGGTGTGGCCAGCAGGGTAGCTGGCAGAGAGAGAGCCAGAGCAGAGCCCCGCAGAGATGTGCGGCAGCCAGCTGTTGGGGCAATGAGTGAATGCCCAATCAGTGGAGTGTGTAAGGTGCCTCCTTACCCCCCTCCTCTTCCACCCAGGGTGGGAGATGAACTCTGCGGATGAACCTCTGAATGCTGGGGATGCACTGGCCAAAGACAGCAACTGTGAGTGGGGTGCAGAGAAAGGACAGGCATATTAAAGGGACTTTTGGGTTGCTGGACTTAAGAACCTGAGGGGAAAAGGACACTGCCCAACTTACTTGAGGTGTGGGTCTTTTGCTCATGGTTTATGTTTATGAATCCTAATTGCAGTGTTTTCCCAAATTAATTCTGAGTTACTTCCCTCCTTTTATTAATTTTTTTTCTACACTCAGACTCTGTGCTTGTGAGAGGGGAAGTATTGCCTCTTAGAGGCACCCAGGGGGTAGTGTGTAATTGTCCCAGGTCACTGGGTGGGGGCTTGAGCTGGTTTTGTGTTGTATTGTTGAAAAGGAACCCCTAGATACTGAACCTGGACCTTGTTGCTGCTGGCTCCACCTGGCAGAAGGGTTACATATCTATGTACTCATATGGTACCACTCACCATGAGTGCCTGCTGTGTGTGTGTTTATCTTTCTTCATGGTGCTTTGATAATGGTGCATGGAAATTGAGTTTTATAACTTAGTTTATATTGGATGATCTCCCATTGAAGTGTTTTTGATATGAGCCAGGTCTCATCTGAAGTCCTTGTCCCTCAGAAAAGAGTAGGAAAGATAATTTCCTACTCTTCTCTGAGGACAGAAAGAATGAATCTACTTGGAACAACGATGCACTGAAAGGTTGGTAAGGGATGGAACTGAGAGCTAACTAAAGAAACAAAGGCCAATATTTTTAAAAAATGGGTGCCTAAAGCTAGGCTATTAAACCTTCATTTGTGCACTTAAATAACTGGCCTGGCTTTCAACAGTGCTGCATGGTATACATGGTTGCATCACCTCTTCACGAGCAACTGACTCACACAAGACCCATCTCATAGTTCTTATTTCATCCATGTCTGAGTTTCTGGGCCACCCAGCTCACTCTAAGCTCTAGGTAAGGAAACCAAGGAAGCAACCCAAAAGAGAAGCTGGGACTGATAATAAGGTGCAGAAATAGATTAAGGAAATATCGGTGCTGGTCAGTTGCTATAACCTTCACATTGGGGCTGATGCTGACACCCCTACTTTTACTGAGCAGTACCTTACTTTCTGAGAAGTGCCACTGAAATCAATGGAAATACTTGAGGAATAAAACTGAGAAAGAGTGGCAGAACTGGATGCTTAGTGTTTGAGTTCATGAGGTAATTTTATTTTATATGCGTAGTGTGTACACCGTTATAGTTGGATATCATCTTCTCTTTGGGTAAAGGAAGGTAATTTGGATCTTCAATTAAATCTTGTGGATGGCTTAATAAGGTGTTTTGCCTAAGCTGGGAGGCTGTACATTGGTACAGTTTAATTTTTGTACAATGATAATAGGGTGAAGGTCACATTTGTGGTTCTCACATGGAAAGTCAGACATGGTAAATGGTAGTTTTGTTGAGGGTGCTCAGTAAGGGGATTGCATACATTTTGGTCTGTATTTGTGGTGTACTGTCAATTATGATGAAGTGTGTGGGTAGGTGTAGCTGAGATCTCTGATCTGAAATGTGTCCTAGGGACATTTCTGTGCAGGATTCCCCTCTCGGCATGGGAAAGGTACAGTTGACACAATGTCAGTGCCTCTCATGTCTTCTCTTCAGAAATACTTAAGTGGCTTTGTTGGAGCCATGATGGCTGGAAACCGAGGAGGGCAGAGGCAGCGGTCTCCACTGGTCAGAAGACACTGTGGTGCCATATGGATAGCTGTAACTACCAGCAAATGCCGTGAGATGTGTGAATCTTGCACCAGCCTCTACTGGCCCTTGCAGCGTGGGCTAGGCCTGCCACACCCCTGATCCAGTTAACTGAGGAAACCTCCCAGATCTTTCTCTGCTCCCTCCTGGGAGGCTCAATCTGGTCCTAGTAAAGTCATGTGGTGAACATGTTATGGGTTTCACACTTCAATATATTTTTCTGGGTGTGTGCAGCGATGCAGGGGCAGAAGTCAGGTTGGTAACTGATCCTTAATGATGAATTTCCAGATTTTCACATATTTAGTTGTTCTTAAAATGGCAGCATTCTTTATACATGTATTGTTGTTTAAGGGAGATCTACAAACAACTCCACCTCACTGATGGCATTTTTTTGGCCTGGTACCATTTACTGCTTTAGCATCCAACCAATCTACACTGCTTTCAGTTGCAAAGGTGGGGAACAGCCCCAAAAAGGAGGAGCAGAGTAAAAATGAAAGGAAGAAAGAAATCAGTGCAGGGAGTTTAAAATGCTTCTTCTCTTCAGCAACCAGACAGTCTTCCTCGCTCACATTTTCACAATCCAGCCTTAAACAACAGTTCGAAGAGCTGTGCATAAATTTGGGACTGTAATGAGAGTCCTCCTCCCATGATTTCTGAGCCACTATAGCTGCAGGGGAAAGCCCTCCAGCAGGCCACAGCTCCAGCTGGGCAACTAGCCCTTCCCTTACTCTGTGCTCCCTACACTAGCTACCCAAATAACCTGTAATTCCAGTGGTTTTCTGCCACTTCATTTGGGATTGTTTTTCACTCCCAAATGACATAATAAAAAAGACTTTAAGCTACTGTTGCTGGTGGGTGGGAGGAATGTCCCAGCAGCCAAGCACCCCAGAGGGCCAAGGAGAAGATCTCTGGGAGTGAAACAGTTCCAACTTTGTGTGTGGGCTTATCGTCTGCCTGGCATGCCAGCAGCTCCCTTCTGCCCTTTTTGTGCATATCCCCCACCCCCACCCCTTTTCCTGGCTCTCCTCCTGCACAGGGAAGGGAGCTGGCGTGGTTGCTTTCCCCTCATTCTGCAGGCGTGAGTCTGAGCCTGGCAGATCTCAGCTTCTTCCCTCCTCGTCCTGCTGCATTTCCCTTCTAGGAGGGATGCAACGAAAGGGCGGTGGTGGTGGGCGGTATTGGGCTGTAGCTCCTATTAGAGTTAATACGGGAGGGTCAGGGGACATGGTGAGCAGCTGAAAACTTCAAACCAAACAAACTCTGCGCTGCCCTGCCCCTCTTCACCCCCCCCCCCCTTCCTTGGAAGTTCGAGCTGCGCTGCCTGCATCAGCAGCCGGGCTGGCAGGAGAAGCAGCAGCAGCCGCCGCCGCCCCTGGAAAGTTGCTCCCCCCGCTGTGCTCCCAGCCCGCTCTGCCCCCCCGCCAGCCATGGGCTTTGACCTGGATCGCTTTGCCGAGCCCGTGGACCCGGATCTCAAGTGCAAACTGTGCAGCAAGGTGCTGGAGGAGCCGCTGTCCACGCCGTGCGGGCACGTCTTCTGCGCCGGCTGCCTGCTGCCCTGGGCGGTGCAGCGGCGCCTGTGCCCCCTGCAGTGCCAGCCCATCTCGGCCAAGGAGCTGCACCAGGTGCTGCCGCTCAGGAGCCTCATCCAGAAGCTGGAGATCAAGTGCGACTACAGCCCGCGGGGCTGCGGCCGGACCGTGCGGCTCCACCAGCTGGCCGCCCACGTCGAGATGTGCGACTACAGCCCGGCCCGGTGCCGCCACAAGGGCTGCCCGGAGGTGCTCAGCCTGAAGGACGTGGACGCGCACATGCGGGAGAGTTGCGAGCACCGCCCGGCCGGCATCTGCCAGCAGGGCTGCGGCTTGGTGCTCCTGCAGCGGGACCTGGCGGGGGGCGCGCAGCCGGCGGGGGGCACTGCTGCCTGCGGGCGCTGCGCAGCCAGACCAGCAGCCTGCAAGGCCAGAGGGCCAGCCTGGAGCAGGAGCTGAAGCGACAGGCCCTGAAGTGGAGCAAGAGGGAGAAGTCGCTGCTGGCTCAGCTCGCGGCGCTGCAGAGCGAGGTGCAGCTCACGGCGCTCAGGTACCAGGTGAAGTTCAACCAGTACATGAGCCACATCAGCAGCATCACCAGGAACCTGGCCGGCAGCCACCCCTGCAAGGTGAGTGAAGGAGTGAGCGGGCTGGGGGCCGCAGGAGCCCAGCCTGGCGGGCTCTGAAGTGAGCAGCCCCCTTCCCCTCAGCCCGCTGTTTGGTGTGGGGTGACCCGGCTGTTTGTCTTTACACTGTGATCTCCTCTATGCCAAGGTTGCTCCTTGGAGGGTGCCTAGCAGACAGGGACGCTGGAACAATTTGCATAGTTGGGGTACTGAGAGCCATTGAACCAAACTGTCAACCCTGTATGTGATGGAAGCCACTTCAAGCCATGGGGTGCGGGAGCACCCCTAGTTCCAGCCCCTATGCTATCAGCTCATGGGCGATACTGCCAACGACCCTATCGACTTGGGACCAGATTCTCTGCAAGCCAAACTCTGCTGCAGTCAGCAGACCTACCCGAGCAGAGACTGGACCCTTTGTAGCATTTAGTCCATCCCTACTTGTGTGGTCGCTTTTGGCAAATACAAATCGAGCTGACACACACTGTAGCCTCTGCCCACCACACTGCACCTGGACATGGGATTGCACTTTCAGCCCCTGCAGTTTGGTGCGGTCCCCTAGAAAACCCCCAAAGGCAGAGAGGCAGTCAGTTAACACATGGCAGGTTAGTGCCACTCTCAGCAACCTAAAACCTAGCTCTCTCTTGTTGTGCCGATGCTTGAAAAGTCCGGAAACAGTTAAAGTGATGTAAATCAAACTTTTACATTTCATCCCCCCATTCATTCAGCCTGGAAAACTCGTCATCTTTCAAGAGCTGTGAAAGCAGTTTCAGCAGATTCTTTCTGGCTCTCTCATTTTCTTTAAGAGTGCAAACGAAGAGCCTAAAATGCAGTCATACATTACATGAGTCTTTTTAGGTTACGTGTTTCATGTCTCCTTTTGTAGTTTAAGAATCTGGCGGCTCTAAGGGTTGCACACCAGCAGCCTCTGGTAGTTCCCAGTGACTCAGTTTGGATGAGGATCTCATGTCAGGTTTGTCTGGAGTGAGAGGGAAACACAAGTGAGAGGAAAGGGCTTCAATTTAGCTGACAATAAACAAATTTGAATGCAAATCTTCCGGGGCAGGGTGTCCAGATCAGACCACAATTCATCCAGCTGGGTGTGACCTTATTAATGCTGGTACTGTGTTTTCTTTAGATGGGGTTCCAGTTTTAGATAAATATGGAGCTAACAGATTTTTTCTTATAATTACATTATTAAGAAGTAGCTTGGGAAACAGTTTGTTGTTTAAAAACATTATAATAGTTTATAGTTTAGGAACAGTTCTGCAGGGACACAGAAATGTCTTTAGTTTTGGAGAAGGGCATAATGATTGGCAGTTTTGACATTAGAGACCAGCACTGCTGCTTCAGCCCTTTGCCAAATCAGATGGCATTGCTTATTGAATTGCCTGCTTTTGATTGAATAAACAGACACATTTTACTGGTGAGATGGCTTAACATGCTAAAGGGTTTGTTCTGTAAAGCTTTAATTCCTGTCTGAAGGATTGCTGTGCAGAGTCTGACATTGTTGGTTGCAACCATGGTGAGAAGTGATTTAATAGAACTTAAGCGCCACTCAAGAGACTTTTCTTCCAAAATCTTTATTGACTCTTTTGAAGCAAAATCTAGAGGAAAAGATTTGCGTAGTCTGGTCGGCTTCTGAACTAGTATGATATGCTGAACTTCAAACTGCTATAAAAGAGACTCACATTTGGGGCACTGATTCAAGTTCTCAGAATTTTTATGTCCAGGATTAAGATGATAAATTCAAGGCTTATTGGAAATAATATACTTAGTGTTTTAGGAACTTGAATACTTAATTTTTTTTCTACTTCCTCCTGGTGGCTAATCCATGGGGTTGGGGTGTTGGCTTTAGAAGATATGCTCATATATCTGCTTCACTTCTGGGAAGATATGACGAGATGGAATGAAGAGAGCCAGCAATGATTGCAGTGAAGTGCCCAGTACGCAAGAAAAATAGTAATATGTGGGGAGAAGGTGAGAGAGAACAGGATTTTAAAAAGGACATTTTAAAAGGAAGTTGGCACATTGACATGAAGGCAGTCCTCTTGTGTAATGATTCAATATCTATCATTTCTTGTCACTACCAGTAGGTGCTGCTGTATGTACTGCCTCAGAGAAATATGTTGCAAAAGACAAGGAAAATTCATAAAACGCTCATTTGGAAGAAAAACCATCAATAAAGTAAAAAATGTTCCTCATTAATTTAAAATGTATCATGCTGTAATAAAAAACTTCACTGCCACAGTTAATAAAAATCTGTTTGGATACCAGAGTGCATCCACATTCATTATTATATTCAGAATATTTTAAAATGTACATTTTCTTTACTTGTCAAAATTGCTTAAATTTACCAATGTATAGAGAATGACAAAACACAATCTTACTTTACTCAGTACAGGCTGAATAAAAATTTTCTGTAGGGATTATGTCTCCTGAAATACAACTGCTCTTATATGTGAAAATTCAAAATAAATTAAATTATTATGCACAGAAAGGCCTGTGATAATCTTTTTAGTTTTCTTTGTATGGTTTAGAAAATTATTTAACCATTTTTACCTAAGGAAGTAGGTTTTTTCATATATTATTTTTTAACTTTGGTTTCTTCACTATTTTTTATTGTGTGACTTATAAAATCACATCTAGGATTTTTGTGTGTGTGTTTTCTAGCTTATTTGCTTTACTTTGCTGTGAAGAGAAAAAAAGGTGTGTCTCTCTCTCCTCCCCTCCCCCCCTTTGAATTGCTGTGGAATCTGTATAGAACCAGCTTTTGGAGCTGGAAATGATAAGAGGCAGAGATATGGGTGAAATCCTGGCTCCATTGAAATCAATGAGAAAACTCCTATTGACTTCACTAGGGCAGGATTTCACCTCATGAGCTTAATATCAAATGTAATTAGTATATACAGGGATTTGTTTTAAAGGTACACAAACATTTGGGGCCTTATTTCAAGAGATGCTGAGCACTCCCAGATCCACTAACTTAAAGTTTTGTGTGCTCAGCACCTAGGAAAATCAGGTCCTTGGGCTCTTCAAAGTACCTGTTACATTTCAGTGGTATTTGTTTTTTCCATCGTGTAAACTCCTGTGTCATTTATAAGTATGTAGCACCATTTTAAATCAGAGTTTTCCATTCAGCTTGTTTGTGTTGCATTTTCCACAGTGAAAAGCTATAGAACATTGATACATTCCCTTGAAGTATTCCTTTTCATGTAACATTTTTTAAATTAGCATTTCACCCCTTTTTTCTTAGGGAGGAGAATCTAAGCCATTAACCATCATGCTACAAAGAGAAAATGATACTTTGGGATTCAATATTGTAGGAGGACGACCCAATCAGGTAATCACCAAAGTAAATATAGTTTCTCCTTTTTTTTTAAAGTACATAGATACTTTTTTATTATCATGTGGCTATTATTAGTAATAAAAACAAATAGCTGGGGCCAGCTTCTGCTTTCAGTCACACCATGGATCTGTACTAGCTGAAAATGGGTACAGAATTTGGCCTGCAGATTTAAGATCTGTGTTTTTTTTTTTTTAAATCATTAGTTTTAACTATTTTTAGGACCCAGTCCTATGAAGCATAGAGTACCCACAACTCTAATGATTGGGTCCATAATACTTTTAGAACAAACCTGGGAACTGTCTCTAGTCTGAATTCATGTGAGTCATCTGTACTTATGCAAGTTGCCCAGTTGAAATCAGTGGGACTATTCAAATGAGTCAATGTTGCAGAATCAAGCACCTGTAATTCTGTGAAAAAATACTTGATTATTTTCATTAAAGGGAAAGATCAAAATCTTATTCTGTAGCTGCACTACCTGCATCATAGTCAAAACAAAATACAATGCTAGTGTATGCATTCAAATATATATTTTCCACCTTCTTGTATCTTAAATAAGTCTTCTAGCATTAATAACTAGCTTAGATTTGGAAAGACATTTTTTTTAAAATCCTAAAATATTAATACCTGTTTGCTTATATAATAATGTATTAAATGGTAAAGAAACTCGCTAAACTGAAAAAATTGATAGTTAATTAAAGATGTTTCATAGTGTTTAGTTAGTTACTATGTACTGATCAGAGGGTTTTTTTTTGTTTTTTGTTTTTTTGAAGTTGTAAAGCTGTAACCTGCTACTGCTCTTTTAGCAACAAAATATTGGGGGCAGGGAGTGTGTATGCTTGGTTTGCATGTCTTCTCCTTCTTTTCTAGCTATACTTAGTGATGCCAAGGAGTCTGCTCCCATTAGCACCAAAGCCCAAGAAGTACAGGGCCTGCTCTGCAGAATTTTACTGCTAGGTCTTCTGGGTAAATATGAAGTTCTACAGGTGTCATATGCATTTTATAAAGTGTTCCAAAGTATGAGCTTGTAAGATTTCTTAAGGGAAAGGATGAAAGTCCAGGACTCTAGAGGACATGCATATTATAATACTTACATTGCAATGTATAACACCTTTTCATAGTCCTGGTAAATGAAATCCATAAAATCTTTATTTTGGATTGCAATGTGACTTCTACAATTTAGGGCTGTGGAAGAACTTGGATTTTTGCATGAAGAAAGCAACTCTGTGTTTGTTTGGGATTTCATTTTTTGAACTTCTAGATCACTGAAGTATTCACGTGCACATAACATATATTGAACATTTTTAAAATAGTAACATATTGAGGGTCTAGTGTCAATCTGTGAATGAAACCTTAACTTTTTCTAAGAAGTTCAAAGGGAAGTGATGAAAACAATCAAGGTTCTTATTATGCCTATTAAGAAAAAATAAGTAAGTTATAGCACTGTCTGTAATGGGGAGGTTATTGCTGATTGGGGAAAGGATGTGATTTTTGTGCAGAAGCAACTGCCATTGATTGTTGAAGAGATGGAAGTTGGTGGAGTTGTGAATTGTTAGGTAGAAACTTCTAGAAGGTGGGCAGGGCATCATATAACTTGGGTCTGTATAAAGCTGGCTACTTCATATTACTTTTCAGTCTTCAGTATTGAACTTAGTTTTTTCCCCTCTCATTCTAACTATAGTATATGTGAATACTACAAATAGGTGATTTGTGTTAGTGGCTACCAAATATCAATGTGAGACAGAACTGACCCAACATGCCTGAAGCTGAAGAAAATCCTAGGAAACAGGGATTGAATGGACTACAATAATTAAAATAGATCAGCGTTTCCCAACCAGTGTGCCACAGCACGAACAGGTGTGCCACAGAATTTTGGAAAAGTCACTTGTGCGGAGGGAAAAAAAATCTCATTTATTTTAATTTGCATTTTGTGCTATTGCTCTTCGGATGTATGCATGTGAGACAGACATTACACATGCTACGCTCAAATGACCTTGCTTTGCTCATTGTGTGGTGTCACATGGTAGCTGTGTTTTCTTATCAACTGTTAAGTAACAGTGCTGAATTTTGATTTGAAGACTTGTAAATGGACGAATATTTGAAGAAAAGAGAATCTAGCACCTTCACACGAAGCTGAACATGAACATAAGAAAGTCAAAGTGGTGAGCCAACTCTACGGTGAGAGTTATTTGCAATTTGGATTTTCATTTACAGCTGAACCATCTTGCTGTCTTTGACAGTGTTGTGTGTGGGGGGAGAAACTCTCAAGCTATGCAGTCATGCCAAGTGATGACTCCTTACAAGAAACATCCGTCCCTTGTCAATAAGGGAAAATATTTTTTTGAGCGTTTGAAGGATCAAACTGAAAAACAAGTGCAAATGATGAAAAACTGTAGCAGTTTCTGATAAACCACTGGAAGCAAGCTACTTCGCTACTTGTAGCGAAGGTGAAAAAGCCGTTATACAGTTGTAGAAATACTAATTTTACCAACATGCAAAGAAATGATGACCGTAACATTAGGTGAAAATGCAGTCAATGAAATCGCAAAAGTTCCCCTTTCATATAATATAAGTCACCACATTGATGATCTCAGCTGACATTGAGACTGTGCTCTGAGAAAAATCAAATCAAGTGGAAAATTTGCATTGTGGCTTGCTGACTCAACAGATATCAGTAATCACACTGAACTCTTGGCTAATGTCAGGTATGTTTATGGAGATAGTATAAAAGAAAATGTTTTATTTTGCAGACAACTGCCAGGTCACACGACTGGAGAGGAAATCTTCAGGGTGACAATGACCTGCCTTGAGGAGGGAGAATTGCACTGGAAAAATTGTCTTAGTGTTTGCACAGACGGAACTGCCTCCATGACTGAAAAGACAAGAGGTTTGTAAGCAAGGTCAAAGAACAAAATCCAGATGTGCTGGTGACCCACTGTTTCCTGCACCATGAAGCTGTCATGGCCAAAAAACTGCCAGAAAAACTTTCTTCAGTGTTAGATGGAGCAGTAAAGATCGTGAACTTAATAAAATCACAGTCCTTAAAATGTTGCCTTTTCTCGTTGTGGTGTGAGGAAATGGGAGCAGAAAACCAGAATTTATTTTTTCACATAGAAATACCCTGGCTTTTCCATGGAAAAGTTTTCTCATGTTTGTATAAGCTCAGAGAGGAGTTCAAGATAGCTTTGGAGGAATCCACACACATGGACCTAATCGCTGATGTGGCACGGTGTGCAAAACTTGCCTACTTGGCTGATATATTTCACCACCTTAATGAACTGAACAGGAAAATGCAAGGTAGAAATGAGGATCTTGTCTCTTGCATGGATAAACTTGCATGAGTTTAGATCTAAGTTAGCCCTCTGATGTGAAAAAAGTAGCAAAAGGCACAATAGAAATGTTCACCCTGGAAAGCACTGCAGATCCCATTGGTAGTATTTTGGTCAATGCCTTTTCTGAGCATTTGAAAAGTCTGGAAGAAAAATTCAGCCTATATTTTCCTTCAACCTAAATAGAAGATTTCGACTGGGTCTGGGATCCTTGAATTTCCTCTGCAATGGAAAGTGCTAAGAACCTTACAATAATGACTCAAGAGCAACTTGTTGAATTAAGGATGGACCACTCTTTTAAAATTAAGTTTGGCAATATGCCTGTGGACTCATTCTGGTTGACATTGGCAGATGAATACATGGTAATCTCCATTTTGTTGCCATTTTCAACAACGTACCTGTGAAAGTTTTTTCAAGCCTGAATTACATAAAAAACAAGCAAAGAGAGCATATGAGATCAGTGGAGCAAGAGCTCCGAGTTGCACTGCCAACATTTCCTGCTGGGATTAAGTGATTCTGCATATCAAGGCTAGCTCAAATTTATAATGAAAAGTAAGTTTTGTTATGATGATTTTAGCGTGGGGCTGTGGTGCGCCACAAATCTTTTATTGAAGTAAGTGTGCCTTAAGACTGGAAAAGGAAACACTGAACAAATACTATTATCTAATATAAAAATGTAAACATTGTGTCAAGAATTGTCGAGTAACAAGATAGAAAGGGTGTGTGCTCATCTCAAAGTGCAGGAAATCATTTTTTTCAGGTTATTCAAGGAAAATGTGCATTGCATGAAACTTGGTTTAATGAAGTGAAACAGAATGCTGATTGGTCCTGCAAGCGACAGATTTTTGAGGACAAAATTATGTTCTACTTACAGAATTGCAAACTTTTCCTTTTGGATAACCTGTGCCTTTCTGTGTCTGAGGGATAAATATACTTACATTTTATGTGTGTTGTGTTTCATAAAACAGTAGAAAGTTTTTTTTCACTGGTTTTTTTTTCTTCCTTCCCTCACCTGAAAAAACCAAACCAAACCCATAACAACCTCGTTATGATTTATCTTAGCAGAAAAGAAGTTATTTCAGAGGGCTATGTGTGGGTTGTATGTTTTGTAAAGGAGAAGATGATGTGGTATGCTAATAAGACTATAAGTGAGAACTTCACTCCTGCTCTGGACTTTTGAGGCTGTGGGCTCCTGGTTCTAGTGGTGGGAGAATTCTGTTGCCGGCACTGTGGAGACAGCCTCAGGCTGTCCTCCATGGACCCCATCACAAGCCCTGCCATAGGAGTATATTGGGGGCAGCAGGAGCATGTCAGATACTGGGTTTCTGGGCAGCTGTGCAGCCCAAGGAGGCTCTGGTAACTTAAGTCCGCAGCGCTGGCTAAATTATGTCTGGAGGAAGGGTGTGTGTGTGTGTGTGTGTGTGTGTGTGTGTCCAGCCATCCTGAGAGCAGCTCAGGATTGGGAGGGCATAAAGGTAGTTTAAAGCCATTTTAGCCCCCTCCTGCCATCTTGGACTGCGAGCTCTTTGCTTCCCCTTTTAGAACTGAAGCAAACTCTCACCCCATGAATGCTGAATCCAGGTGGCAAAGACTGCAAAAGGATTCTGTATGTCATGTACCTATGTTGTCTATTTAGGCTGTACGAGATTCATCCCCTTACTCTCATCAGGTAGTACCTTACTTTATAAAAAGTCATTGAATAAGGTGCAATTTTATGAGTAAAAGTATATTTATATTAGTAAAGTTATATTTTTTTGTATCCGAGGGGGACCCTCAGTAGAAGTCTATTTGTTTACATTAGACCATTTTGAAACATTTTTGGACCTGTTCATTTTTGGACCTCATTTTAGGATGTGAGGTATGAAAAATCGAGGGAGTAGGCAGCAGATGTTGATTTACCAGCACTTAATTTAGAGCAATACTGTCGACTTGAAATCTAGTCAGAATGAAAGCTCTTCAGGACAGTAACTGTATATTTGTACAGCACATAGCACAGTGGGGTGTAATCTTGATTGTGGTTTTGCTGTAAGAAAGACCCACACAAAGGACCCAATCCTGCGAACACTTATATACATGAATAGTCCCATTGGTCAGGGCCTAACTGACAACATACAAAGTGCTGTAAAAAATCTACAAAATAAAACAAACTGGGAAAATAGGCTTTCAGACATTTTTGTTGTTTGTAACATTAAATAATAGGGCTGTCAAGCTATTAAAAAATTGTGATTAATCGTAAAATTAATTTTTTTTAGTCATGATTAATCGCTTATTGCACTGTTAAACAATAATAGAATACCATTTATTTAAATATTTTGGATGTTTTCTATATTTTCAAATATATTGATTTAAATTACAACACAGAATACAAAGTGTACAGTGCTCACTTTTTATTTTTGATTACAAATATTTGCACTATAAAAAAACAAAAGAAATAGTATTTTTCAATTCACCTAATACAAGTATTGTAGTGCAGTCTCTTTACCATGAAAGTTGAACTTATGAATGTAGAATTATATAAAAAAAAAACCTGCATTCAAAATTAAAACAATGTAAAATTTTAGAGCCTGCATGTCCACTGAGTCCTACTTCTTGTTCAGTCAATCGTTCAGACAAACACATTTGTTTACATTTGCAGGAGATAATGCTGCCTGCATCTTGTTTACAATGTCACCTGAAAGTGAGAACAGGCGTTCTTATGGCACTGTTGTAGCCGGCATTGCAAGATATTTGTGTGTCAGATGTGCTAAAGGTTCATACAGTAACTCCTCACTTAAAGTCATCCCGGTTAACGTTGTTTCGTTGTTACGTTGCTGATCAATTAGAGAACATGCTCGTTTAAAGTTGCACAATGCTCCCTTATAACGTTGTTTGGCAGCCAACTGCTTTGTTCACTGCTTGCAGAAAGAGCAGTGCATTGGAGCTAGTTGGTGGGAGCTTGGAACCAGGGTGGACTGTCAGCCTTCCATCAACTCCCCACTCCCCTAAGTTCCCTGTGTGGCAGCCGCCCAGCAGGCTATCAATTGGCCGGCAGTTCAGCTGTCCCTCCCCCCCACTGCTATGTGCTGCTCCTGCCCTCTGCCTTGGAGCTGCTCCCGGGAGGCTCCTGCTTGCTGTGCAGAGGTGGGGGAGAGAAGAGTGCTAATGTCAGGGTGTCCCCCCCACCTTTCTGTATCTTCACAGAGGTGGGGAGGGGAGAGGGGACAACACCACAGGGCTCAGGAGGGAGGGAGCTTGCTGGCAGCAGCTGCTGTCTCAACTTGCTAATCTACTTAAAAAGGCAGTGTACTTAGTGGGGTCAGTGTACTTAAAGGGGCAATGCACATGTCTTTCTCACACACAGGGTGTGTGTTTCTATCTCTCTCTGCCATGCTGTCTCTCCTCCCTCCATTCGTGCTGCCTTGTAGAGTGTGAGGCTACATTAACAACAATGTGTTAATCTTTGAGGGTTAGTTAGCTGAGTACTAGTTCATCATTTAGCAGTAAGGCATTCCCTGGGAAATAACCCACCCTCTTTCACCCTCTGACTTCATCACCAACCAAGCTTCACAATCATCATTGCTGTGTACAATATTCAATTGTTTGTTTAAAACTTATACTGTGTGTGTGTGTGTGTGTATAAAATATAGTCTTTTGTCTGGTGAAAAAAATTTCCTTGGAACCTAACCCCCCCATTTATATTAATTCTTATGGGGAAATTGGATTCACTTAACATCATTTCTCTTAAAGTAGCATTTTTCAGGAACATAACTACAACGTTAAGCAAGGAGTTACTGCATGTCCCTTCATGCGTCAACCACCAATTCCAGAGGACATGCTTCCATACTGATGACGGATTCTGCTCAATAACAATCCAAAGTAGTGCAGGTGCCACCAGCGGAAGGTTGATTTTCTTTTTTGGTGGTTCGGGTTCTATAGTTTCAGCATTGGAGTGTTGCTCTTTTAAGACTTCTGAAAGCAGGCTGCACACCTTGTCCCTCTCAGATTTTTGAAGGCACTTCAGTTTCTTAAACTTTGAGGCGAGTGCTGTAGCTATCGTTAGAAATCTCATATTGGTACCTTCTGTGTGTTTTGTCAAATCTGCAGTGAAAGTGTTCTTAAAACAAACATGTGCTGGGTCATCATCTGAGACTGCTATAACATGAAATATATGGCAGAATGCGGGCAAAACAGAGCAGGGGACATAAAATTCTCCCCCAAAGAGTTCAGTCACAAATGTAATTAATGCATTATTTTTTTAATGAGCATGGAAGCATGTCCTCTGGAATGGTGGCCGAAGCATGAAGGAGCATATGAATATTTAGCATAGCTGGCACGTAAATACCTTGCAATGCTGGCTACAAAAGTGCCATGCAAATGCCTGTTCTCACTTTCTGGTGACCTTGTAAATAAGAAGAGGGCAGCATTATCTCCTACAAATGTAAACAAACCTGTTTGTCTTGGTGATTGGCTGAACAAGAAGTAGGACTGAGTGGACTTGTAGGCTCTGAAGTTTTACATTGTTTTGTTTTTGAGTTCAATTATGTAACAAAAAACAATCTACATTTGTAAGTTGCACTTTCATGACAAAGAGATTGCACTACAGTACTTGTATGCAGTGAATTGAAAAATACTATTCCTTTTGTTTATCATTTTTACAGTGCAAATATTTGTAATAAAAATAATGTACACTTTGATTTCAATTACAACACAGAATACAGTATATATGAAAATGTAGAAAAACCTCCACAATATTTAATAAATTTCAATTGGTATTCTATTGTTTAACAGTATGATTAAAACTGCGATTAATTGCGATTAATTTTTTTGAGTTAATTGTGTGAGTTAACTGTGATTAATCGAAGCCCTATTAAATAAATAAGCTCAAACAGAAAAGTGATTTCTAAGTTGACTGTGCCTCTTTAACTTCATTATATAAATTGGTAATTTATTAAAACTTATTTCAAGTGAAATGTTGGAAGTCTGGCAAGCAGAGTTGGACTGGCATTACATCATATGTTTAAAAATAAAATTACTTTAATGTGATCAGAGCTGTCTATTGTATTATTCCAAACATGGTAAATAACTTTTTAGCTGTAAGTTTGAACTTTAAGTAAGTTTCACTTGGAAATGTGTAAAGATAAACTGGAAAAAGGTTCTTCTTTTGTCCATAGCTGATCTTTACAGATTTCACAGTTGAGCAAGTTCTGAGTCTCCCATGTAAATAGGATTTATGAGGTTAACCAACTTCAATAGAATCCCATCACTACTATATCTTACTAAATAGTGCCGCTTTATTTTCTAAGGAAAAAATATATACAAAAAGCAATGTTAAAGAATGTCTTTTCTTCCTGAGACAAACACCTGTGGTTCCTCCTTTTTTTCTTTAGTACGTGATCCTCTTTATATACATTAGTCACATCTGCTAGAAAGTGTGAGACTCACTTTAAATATTTTATTTAGGATATGATTACTATTGCACCTTGTGTTTTATGTAGACTAAACTAACGTAATAGATTAACTTGTCAAAAATGCTGGAATAGTTTATTAATGCTGTCATTTTGATTAACGCCTATTGTGTATTAAGTTAAAAATCCCAAGTAGTTAAATCCCTAGATAAAAAAGAGAGCTGCATTTTTCGGATGGATTTGCATTTTGCATTGCTGAATATAGAACTGTCTCTTTTCTTGTACTAATATGGCTGTCTTTTATTTTGCAACTTCAATATTGCCTGGTACAGAACAATCAGGAGGACTCTTCACCTGAAGGAATTTATGTGTCAAAAATCTTGGAAAATGGACCTGCTGACAAGACAGAAGGCCTGCAAATTCATGACAAGATCATTGAGGTAAGAGTGAGAAAAAGACGTTGATGTAATAATGGCAGACTCACTGACCGTGGATTTGATATTTTTCACAATGAATATGTTGTAATTTTCGTTCACTATTGTAAACTGAAGTGATCAAATGTTCATCAGATGTGTATATACATCATGGATTTCTTGAACAGCTGAGTGTACAGAAGTGTTGATATAAGGATGTTTACTTTTTCAAGGTAAAGCTGTAGAAACTGATCAGGCAACCAGGAGTGGTATAATGTTTTTCTTTATGATGGCTGAAGAGGAGGGTCAAATGGTTCTTCATAAATTCACCATTTTTATGTGAAAGTGTTTTGTCCTGAAAAAGTGAAATAGCTGTTGTGCACCTGAGATGCTTCAAAGGAGCTATGTTGATAAATGATGTTCTGGGATTCTTTGAACAGTTAGGGAAGCTGCTCTTCTTTTTGATCAGTTAGTTGAATGCGTGTTGTTTTTTACCTATACAAATACAATTCTTTTCCAATCATGTAACATTCCATTACAGCCATATTAAAGTCTGTTCCCATATAATTATTTTCTTTTACTAAACAGAATTGAAAAGAGTTTGACTTAAAAACTAAAACAAAAAACTCTACCTAAACTCAGAAAATGTTTTGTTTCTTCTCTCTACCTAGTCTATGATCTGTAAACATGGTTAACACTAAAAGATGCAGCAATATTTGTGGAAAAAGTTATTTTACTTAGTTAGTGAAATGGATTCCTTGCTGTGTTATGACAGTGGAATTTTCGATCACAGCTGTAGTACAGCTGTGCCCTTTAATCATTGCACTTAACTGTAGCTATATTATGTTTGCTGCTGGTGCAGCACTTTGACCTTGGTTTCAGTGACGGTGCAGAAGCATTGTTTTAACTTGACAGTTGAACAGCATTCCAAAACAAGAAAAATGAAACAAGTAGATCAAGAAATTGATAGGAAGGGTAGCTGGCATCTGGCACCGTTTTCTTATTAAGGAGTTGACACCTGAAGTGTGTCAACGCTGTTTGAATGCTGGCATTGCTTTAATTGTAGGGAGCCTAGAGCAATATGCCAAATAGGATTTTTTTGTTTGTTTTTGTTTTGGAAAAAGAGAGTGAGCACATGTGCTTCAACTGGCTGAACTATATATACACTTGTTTAGCAGGGAGCAGAGTTCGCTGTAATTATGCTGAACTTGCAATGTGCCTTTTATCTACACAGAGCTCTTGTATCAGAATATTCTACCACAGCATTATAACTCAGACAACAAATCTATTTTCCTCTGATTTTATCGTGGTACTCTTCATGTATTGTTCTATAGAGACTGTGCTGCCATAAGGTTTGATACATTTACTCAAACTTTTATTCTTCCTTTTCTATTTTTTCAAAGTATTTTTGTTTTTAATGAAAAAGGTGAAAGTTTTTTTTACATAGAGGAAAGGGTGCACAGACCAAAATGAATTAAGCTATAAGAACTCTTCCCTTTTTGTCTGAAGTTACATTTTAGAGAATTTCAGCTATATAAGGAATATGAATGCTGGTATTTAACGTGTCAGGAGAGCTTAAGTTCCATATAAAAATGTCCTACATAAAAATAATGAAATAGAGAATTAATTCCTGCTCTGCTGCTTAATAATTTTATGCTACATGGCTGAAGGTTAATCTTTTGGCACCATGTGCTAGCCCATCTTTTACTGTTATACTCTATAACTTCTTAGTTTTTATTATTATTATTATTATTATTTGTAGTTTGGGAAGGATTTCAAGAAAATCTAGGGAGAAACTACAGAACAGCTAAACATTAGTGCTGCAGCATTTAATCAAAATGAGGAGAATATTTCTAAATAAAATTTGAATTAGTAACTACCTCTGTAATGCTATGACTTTGCCAATATAAACATCTGGAGTTAAAAGGTTGAAATTTACCTTGGCAATACATGAATATCAATGTCTTCTCACACCAGAATGCTCTGGAAGTCTGTACTACTGCTGTCTTGTTTAAAGGATCAACATGAATGTTTTCACTGTGAGGAAATGAGTCAGACTGTGTATTTGTTTCAGGAATGTTGGCAAATATACAGAATGAGAGACAATTTTGGTGAGGAGAAGACGGGAACCAGATCTCCTTATTTTTGGTTATTCTGCAGCCTTTCAGAGATCAGATCAAATGTGTGATATATATGTGTGTGTGTGTGTGTTTAAAAGAGATCATTTTGCAGCAATCAAGTGCAGAAAGAATTGATGTTGTTTTGGGAATTTGTAATGACTTCAATTAGTTGTTTGGCTTTGTGGTGCCCATTATAGTCTTTTAGCAGTGCATCGCTAATGGGATAATGGACAGAACTGTCCCATTAAATTAGAAGAAAATCAGCACAGGCATAACAGTCTGTTCTCAAGCCATGTTTCTAAATAAAAGAAGGTAATTAGTTTTAGTGCTTCATCAGACGTTTAACAAACGTTAACTGCAAATGGTTGACAAGGATGAGTTTGTGCAAACTTCAGACGACTGCTCCAAGGGTTAACTTAGTGCAACGAATGGATTTCACAGTAGTGTGACACTGGCAGCTGGAATTGTGAATTAAGTCTAGCAGACTTAATTGTCACCACTCTTCACTACCCATTCATCACAATCTAGCACAGACTACCAGAAAGTTTGCTAAACAATTAGTCTTACTTTAAAGGATGCTAAGATATGAGATTTCATTTCTCTGTGAAGATATTCTATGTAAGTGGAAGAAACAGGTCATACAAAGTACTTGAGTTCAGCTGTGGACAGAGAAACTTGCATACTCAGTGTGTGGATAGTGCAATCTACATTTGTATTGTTTCACATATTGGGGTTATATGGACTTAAATGTCATTAGCTTTTCTTATACTTCAGAACTTGCACAATTTAATAGATGCCTGCTAGTTAGCAGACTAAGGCCTTATCTACGCTATGGGGGTTAGTCGACCTAAGTTACACAACTCCAGCTATGTGAATAGCTGTGTCGACGGGAGACACTCTCCCGTTGACTTCCCTTACTCTTCTCGTTCTGGTGGAGTAACGGAGTCGACGGGACAGTGATCTGTGGTCGATTTAGTGGGTCTTCACTAGATCCCCGGTAAGTGTAGACATCCCCTAACATACTAGCCTTAGATAAGTATGAAAAGGGATCCCACCAGGAAAAGTTGAGTGCCAACAGTCTGACTAGCGAAGGCCCAGTGCCATACATGAAAGGGGCATAGTGTGCCAATTTTTGCCACAGTACTGTTACTCCTTTGCAGAGGGGTAGTAGACTTCAAGGCCTTCCATGTCAGTTTCCTGTTGGGGCAATGATGACAGGGTATTTTCTTAGTGTAACTTGTTTATTTACACTATATAAAAATCAGACCTTGCCTGATGTTCACAAATGGCACTCGGACAGGAATCCTCGCTCAACACCAATGCCTTATTCCCAGGGAGGAACTCTACCTTATGAATTGATCTCAGTTTAGAGAGATTAAGACAGAGAGCAAACCTTTCTTCTGCTTGCCACTGCTTCTCCCAAAAACTTGCCTGATAAGACTCTCCGTGGCGGTGCTGTTACACATAGCTAACTCCCAGCATAGGAGCCCTGACTACTGGGAGTCATATATTTGTGAAAATCCACCAGCCCTTTAACTACTGGATGGGATATGTCTGTCTCCTTCTCCCTGCTGGGCCTCAGAGTTGGGAAGAGTCAGAAGTTCGGAACTGATCTAATTCAACTTCAGATAATTCTGGCTGCTGTGAGGAAGTGGGAGAGACCTTTCTCACTCTTAACTCCTAAAAAGGGGTGAAGGAGAGTATTTGTATAGCTACACCCCAGCTTGTCTTCATGTGTCTTCTCATTTTGTGAATAACTCCAGTGCTTGCCTTTGCTGATACTAATAGCCTTCTAAAACCATGATATGAAACTGACATGATTCTAGACAGTTTAATTGCTGCCCACAGGGTTCAGAAGGGCAGTTTGACTGCTGCCCTATTTTGTTTATTTTACACTGCTGCTTTTGTTAAAGCTGTAAACAATGGCAGTGACACTGGAGCTGGCTGTCTGAAGACTGAGGAAGACATCATTGCCTCAGTTTACAATCAGTTCATATTTAGAAGGTTTTATTTACAACCATAATGGCTGTTCTTTTTTGTGAATGGAATGCAATGCTGTCTGGTGCAGAAGCATGGGTGATAAAAAAGACAATAGGTTCAACCCTGTAGGTATATGAGATGAGATGTCTTAGTGCTATAAGAGGAGTTACATGAAGAGACAGACTTCAAAATTAAAGTATTAGAATGGAAGTCAAAGTCTTCGATATGGCTGACAAAGTCCAGGATGTGCAACTTTGTTGGTTTGCACACACGCAAAGAATGAATGAAGGGGACCTGGTGAAGATAGCGTGGTGGGGGAATGTGGTAGGGAAGGACCTTGAGCAAAGCCAAGGAAGTGCTGGATCGATTGCATCAAAGAAGATGGTAAGCAGGTGGACCTTAGTGCCTCCTGGGATAGACGAAGCTAGCAGATGCTTGCACAATGATGGGATAAGTGGAAGAAGGACAGATCAAAATCTACAAAAAATGATATTTCTTCCCCTCTTGTTTGGTCCTTACATTCATCCAAAAATTGTGATTGAATTTTTCAAGCCCTGTTGTACTCGATAGAACTCATATTATGCTGCATAATGCCATCAAGTTATTAAAGTTAAATAACCTAAATTTGTCTCCTCACTGCAATGTTATGCATAAAACATATGTCCAAGGTAAAGCTTGTAAATTAGGTTTCATCTCTCTTATTCTATTTCCCTCTTTGTTATTTTCACTTTTTAAAGAGTGCATGCCTGATGAATTTCTAGCACATGTCCACAAAACCAGTTACAGTAAAGTCTTAAGACTTTTACTAGCACAGTGGTTCTCAACCTATTTATTGTTGTGGGCTGCTATGTGGCCCACAATTAGAATTGCCAGCCTTCCGGTTTTCAACTGGAATGCCCGGTTGAAAAGGGACCCTGGTGGCTCCAG